AAGGCTTTAAGGATTTGTTTATAGATAAAAGAAGAAGAGACTATTTGTTGTATTTTAAGAAAATGTAATAAGTTACTAAAATTGTTTATACTTGTGATAAAGGAGGAAGTCATTTCTTTATATATTTCTTTTCTTTTTCTTTACTATGTTATTTTTTCTTTTCTATTTTTCTATTTTTTTTCTTTTCTGAACTTTCTATTTTTATTCTTTTATTTTTTAGCTTGTATTACTTTATATCTTTGCAATTGTAATTTTTAATAAAATTACTATTAAAAAAAAGAAACTATTTAAAGAATAAAGAAATCTGGGATTAAACTATATATGTATAACAATATAAACTCAAGAAACCAGATGTTAATTCTATACCATATGAATAAGGAAAAATATTCTCCAATACCTGAAATGTATACAGTTTCACAGCTAACCTAATATTTTTACCAAGATGTTCTGTCTAGCCAATCACGTTCTTGAGGAAGAGATGTAAACTCTTTGGTAGGGATGGCATGTTTTCTTAAGAACATACTAAGGATATAATAATCACAAAAAAGCTAGCTGGACAATGATTTCAGAATAGCTGTGCCATTTATAAAAGACATGGAATCCAAATCAGGAGAAACATGGTTTCAAATCATGTTGTGGGTATCAGACTGGAAAAAGTCTGGCTGCAAGATTGCTAACATTTCTCCCCTTCTTTTTTGCTGTACTGGAAACCTGCAGATCAGGATCTTTGTACGCACATGTAACACTGATTCATCATAGAATTACTGGAAATAGGGGAGACGGTCTTGCTTCTGCTTCTTTCCAATACTTCTGCCAAATTCCGTTTGTGGATGCATCTGCCTATTTAATTTAATTAGGGTACTCAATATATATAATTCTTACAAAAAGTTAAATAGAATTTCATGTTTTTAACATCGTTGATTTAAGAACCCCCATTGTTGTAACTGGATTATTTCAGTGGGCAAGTTGTAAAATGCAATTGCAAAGGGGGTACAACCAATACGTTCAATAAGAGAAGGGGTCCTACATAACTTACTTACTGTATGATGCTGCTTAATTTTACTGGGGACAAAACATCCTCTGAACTATAAACCTGCACATATTGGCTGTCCTGCCTCTTTTCAGGCTAAAATGATTAAACACACATATGTATACATCCACAAATCAAAACTTCGGGTAAATGCTCAGGCACTCAGTGATGCAGAATTTAATAAATACAGCTATAAACATTTTATGTTACTATTTTTTAAGTAAAAAAGATTGGAAATACTATGTCAAAGATCCCATTTAAATAGTCTGATTAGGACAAAGTAATTCTGAAGTATTCCAGTAACATGCACTCCCTGCCCACAACCGAGAAAGAGACTCCAGGCAAAAAAGACTCAGTAATTATTTCTGCGGAAAACATTTTTTCTCTTTCTCCCTCTTTAGTTGTACTGATGTGGTTTCTCCTAACTTTTGAACACAATTGTTACATTTGGTGGCAAGTTATCAAAACTGTATGTATTTCTTCATTGATGTTAGTGACTGACAGGCATTTCTTTTAGCTTTCTCAATGGAAACTGGAAAATATTGCAGTAATTTCTATGTATCAGAGAATAAGGTGAAACACACAGAGATCTAAATTTTATTTATCTTTTTTTTTCTTTACTCTGATTTCCACGATGATTTTATAGTCTTCTAGATATATTTAATGTCACCTCTGTGGAATCTCTCTCAGAGTGGGCCCCCTTCCAAAAGTAGTCAGAAAATGGGACAGATGGGATCTAAAACTACCTGATGTCTAAGCACAGTAGCTGTCTTCTTAAATGTCTGGGCTTAGTAATCCAAAATATAACCTAAATAGGACAAAACAATAAAAGCACTTAAAACTTGTTTCCATTATAAAATGTTTCATTGGAACATAAATGTACAGATAAATGTACTGAGCTGTCAGTAGAGATAGCTGATTGGGTAACTAAGTCATGCTAATTTTGAAATTAAAGTGAAATAATAAATACAATTTGTGTAGATGTAACAGAGCTAGCCACAATATTTAGCTCTATAATGCAGAATTCACAATCACTGTCGTTTGGAACAAGGGAGCAAGTGGGGATGCTGTCAGAAAGGAAGAAAATGAGAACATCAAGCCCTAGCAGGGTGGGTTACAGGCAGTGGCTGGAAGTGGCAGAATTTGGAAGAAAAAGGCCATAATCAAAACCACATTCTTCAGAACTATTTGTACTGGAGAATATACAAGCTTTAAAGTTGGAGACTCTAGAGAAGACAGCCCTGTGGGAAGGCAAACTGATGGCATGGGACCATACCCTTAGTCAGGAAACAGCAGTTTCAGAAACAAGAAATTAAACTAATTTTGCCTCTAATAAGATGTATAACATTATACATTTGTCATAAGACAAAAGCAAGGACATTTCATCTCCAGTCACCATTTTACATCAGGACAAGAGACCTACACCTTTTGAGATGCTGTTCAACAGCATTTGTAAGGTCTCAGATTGTTCTGATACAATTATGTATCAGTGTAAGGTTGCTTTAAAAAACATGAAATTAGGGTTTTTTAAATCTTAAAATAAAGTTATTACAATGAAAATTTTTGTTTCATCTACATTGGCCACCTCAGAGAATGTTACAGTTGCTTTGCTGATAGAGGTCCAATTCAGGAGTTGGAACATTAACTCAGATTGTCTGAGCTTGTTCTATTATTACCACATTCAGAGTTGAAACCCACAGCATTGGCTAACACCACTTTAGATTGTTGTGTGTCAAGGACGCATATATTCTTCTCGGCCATATCCCTAGTCTGTAATTTATTAAGAACTGTGAGCTTTTCACACATGGAGGCTAGCCAAAATAACTATGATATAATACACAAGAAGATAAATTTTACAGCACTGGAAAGATAACTTGTAAAAATGTATTTGGAACAATGTATTGCTGATATGTCTCATTTATAAATATATGAATTAGGGTTTATTTTTTAAACAAAGGCTCAAGAAAGAGGACTACAGGTCAATTTATACGTACACTTTTTAAGTTTGATATAATAAAATACTAACAAAGATTAAAAGACTAAGCATCTGTATTTTATACATATGCCCTACTTTGCAGATCTTAATTTTCAAGATAAAAGAATTGATGTAATTTATTTCATTTCAACCTAATCATCTAAGCTTTGGTGTATAATTAAAAACTAGAAATAGGGATGTGCAAAATGGCCTGAGTGCAGGGTGTCTCAAGTGTTCTCCACTCAGCATGAAACACCAATTGGTTCACATAGTGTGTGCTGTTCTGAGCAACTTGACGGCAATCTTCCTAGACCAAGATGGATGCAGGAAGCAATGATGATTCTGCTACCACTGGCTTAGCCTGGATGGGGCAGTCAGGGACAGTAGAGAGCTGGAGCAAAGCAGCAGGCAGGCTGAAAAAGGAGAATCAGGAGATCTGCAATTGACTGCAAATCATCACTGTTGCTGGAGCTAGCAATATATATCTTGTTGCCTATTCTGGGGGTTGGGAGATTGTAAATTCAAAAGCTGTTCAATAAAATCTGTGTTCTGTTGATGTTGAGTTTCAGCATGCCTTTAAAACTGAAGCAAATCCATTGGAATACAGGCACCTCAGAAGATTATGAATGGGCCTATTTGTTCCAAGCTCAAAAAACATGGTGTCCGTTTCATGTACATCCCAGTATATGAAACTTGGTTTCTATTTTGTAACGCACCATCTGCTTGAAATGTTTGAGGCATATGCAGAACAAGATATGCTTAAAACGTTTTGCATCCTCCTAAAGTTGGCTATATCTTGATTCACAGTACTTTATTTTCAAAGGTGATCTGATCATTCCCCACAGCGTAAAAATTTACTCTTATGTAGGTCACCTTTCCTGCACTAGCTTGTGCATACTGAGGCCAAAACATATCTCAGAATGGCTCCTCTAATCTCAAAATGGTAATGTGATCTGGATTTTTAAAAGCTAGGGAAAGAGACATTTGTTTGCACCCTAAAAAGACTTATTACAGCTTTGCATAAGTCTTCAAGGAAACAGAAAAGTACAAAAACACACAAATATTTTCAATGTTTAAGACCCTAAAATATAAGCAAATAATTAGGTAGCATTTTAAAGTATTACAGTATTGCCTTTCAATACCTCACTGGCATTTTCAACATCTTACTATAAATTGTTCCTGATGGTATCATTGGAGGCAGCTCTGCATTAAGAACGAACAAAAATGAAATTGAATTTCTAGGCAGTATTGAATATTTTATGTCAGTTTGAATGATGCTTACCCTGTATTGATGGAAATGATTTCTATCAGGGGGTTCTTTCTAATCTTTGGCAAATCCAGTCGCGCTCCCCCCAACCGTTTCCCATTATCCTTTTTCTGTCCCAGCAATCTCACAGAGTGACCTTCAAATAAAGAAAAAATGGCACTATTATACATACAACTCATTGGTTTTAGAAAATTCTATTTCAGCATTCTGAATTTGTTAATAAAAACACATCAAAAAGTCTTATAATAACCAAATACTTACTAGGTAAAAGAAAAACAAAACGTTTACATGATTTTTTTTCTTTGATTACCTTGTTTTAAAGTGTTTGACAAAGGGTAATCAAGGAGCCTTTTGATTTTAATTACAGCCAGACTATTACTTCTAATTCAAGATTTCCTTTAAAACAAACACACATGCATGGACACGGCATTAGTCCACGTAACCAAAAACAGAGGGCTCAGCTTGAAAAAAAAATTAGGTTACTACTTAACTCAAATTACTATAGCCCTCAAATACAGTACCAGAGATGTTTTAGAACTTTACTGGATATATTACTTTATGAGTGAGTTCAATGGGTGCCTTTGCCAAAGCCTTATGTGCGTCCTGACTATAAATCACTCACATTAAATAGAGGTTTGAAAATATTTCCATAATCTTAGAAAAGCTGTTTTTTAAAATAATGTTGAAATATGATTGCATGTGTAACTTTATTCAGATTTCCAATAATGAACAGAAATTATTAATGCAAAGTTAAAAATACTGTTAATTCAAACGTTGTTAAGAAATCCACTAATACTTAAAAATACAGGTAGTCCTCATTTAGTGACTGCCTCATTTAGCAACTGTTTGCAGTTATGACAGTGATGAAAAAGTAACTTTGTGACCAATCCTCACATTCATGACCTTTGCAGGTCTGTAAAGCAAAGGAAAGCTGAAGTAAGATCATAAGCACAGTCACGGATTCACTTAGCGACCATTTGCTTAACAACTGAATTGTCAGTCCTAATTGTGGTTACTAAACAAGGCCTACTTGTAACTGAATTTCACATTCTGAAACACACCTTTTTTTGTAATAAAAAAACAAATAAATATGTTAATAAAGCTTTAAAAAAATACAGGAAATATTAATGCTAGTAGCATTTCGACAGATTTTGGAATAAGCGAAAATCTTATATCATGGCTGGATTCATATATACCATTGCCCAATAAACTGTAGTTTGCAAATGAAACCAAAGACAATATAGCTTAGCACAATTGATGAACTCAGCTTCATGAGGACAGAAAACAACAATAAATGGAAGACTTCTACTATTCACTTGTTATCACAAAGGGGAGAAAAAAAAGTCTGCCTGTGTAGCTATGGAAATACAAACCCAGCCATCGTCTAAGAGAGAACCCAGTTTTAAATTTAAAATATATGATGTATTTTGGCAATAAAAAATACTGTAGCAACACTAGGAGCATCAGTATCAAATCCATTTGGGTTTCACTTTTTGTTCTTATGGTAAGCACTTATGTATCCAAAGAGCATCATATAGTAGTGCTTATAACACAGTTGCACGGAGGCTTTGTCTAGGTGGCAAGCTATATGCATTCAGCAATTTTCAATGTTGTTATTCCAATCATTAAAAAAATATGATGAGATGGTAAAAATCAGAGAAATTGCATGGTGAACTGTTTCTCCTGTTTCACATGCGGAGCTTGGTGCACAAAATAACCGCATTTGGCATATAAGGGCAAATATATTGGAATGACCGTAGCTCAGTGGTAGAACTAATACTTGAACAAATTCTTCAGATAGGACTGGGAAAGTCCCTTGGCTAAAATCCTAGAAATCTGATGTTAGTTAGCAGTGCTGAGCTGAACAAACCAATGGTCCCACTCTGTGGCTGTGTGCTCAGATTTAATAACATGGACATTCGCTTGTTTCCTTCAAGACTTCTTACTCATCTGATCTTTTGTTTTAGAATTAGCCACACCATCAAAACAAACCCATGTCATATTCTCAGAATTCCAGAATGCCCCCCAAATTGGGACACACTGGGTTAGTGTGATGCCTCCCTCTCTTAGTTCCTGAAACATGTTTAAATTTGTGACTTAAGTACAAGAAATCTAGTATTTAACAGTATCATGAGATGAATTTACTGAATTCTTTACTGATATACTGCTAAAGGGAATTAGAACAATTAGCATACTAGCCTTTTCAGAGTAAGGCTAAAACTTAAAGTTAAGAATCCAGCTTTATTAAAAGGAATTGTAAATGCAATAGCAGAGTATAAGAGTTATCAAAAATTAAACAGTACTGTATCTAGAAAGGGCTTGTTATTTTCATATCATTATACAGTATACCAAGAAATCCGTTATAGACCATTGGGATATATAGATTGCATCAACATTATTCACTAATTCACTATTCTTTCTCACTATATCACATTAATAATGATGTTATTATTAGCTAATTAAATAACTAGCTATTTTCTAATGCTATTGCTTACAAAAGACTCTCGGATTTAACAATATGCATCCCACTTGTTAATTAAAATAAATGTGAGATCCTTTGCACCGTTGGAAATATCTGAGTCATTACAAAGCTAAGTACATAATGAAAATTAATGTTCAAAGAATACTAAAGAAATAAAGCATCCTTTTAAAAAAGTTTATTATCACAAACAAGCAAACAAATCTACAACCAGAAGCCCTACATTTCAATCAATTCAAACACATCAAGTACCATGTTGGATTGTGTCCTGGTCGCTATCCAGTATTTATTTTGGAAACTGGCAAATTTTAACTACTGAAGGGGTAAAGCTCTGAAGCAATCTCTTAGGAACTACTAATAAATAAGTAAATAAATATTAATTTGTCAAAAAACCAAGCTGGATTAATAACAGCATTAATTAAAATTCGTAAAATGTAAAGTATACTTTCTTTTTATTAATTTTCTGATAAAGCAAGTTTAGAAGACACAAAATATTTTTATGTTAAATATCTAATTCCACACTATAACCAGAAATATTCATATGTTTGTTTTCAGTGATGTCCATTAAACCAATGCAAATCATCGTTCCATTTTTTAACAAAATTAAAACAATGAAATGGAGTTTAAGAGGCTTTTTATACCATTAGTTGACTTTCCTTTTTACAACCAACTGAAGCTAACATTTGAAAAAGTTTCCTTATGTAATTTTTCTATGCTGCATGATTATCTAAATAAAGCTCTTTTATAAAAGTGATTAATCCAAATGGGACAAATGTTTTGTACAAATAAACATCTTATGATCGTTGTTCAAAATAGTATACAGTTTTGTGATAGGATTATACAGCTTAGATAAAATATTTAGATAAATTGGAAGAAATAAAATGAAGAAAGTGAAAATATATGATCAACGCAAATATAAGAATTCTAAAACAATAATTTTTAAAACTAAATTGTTGAATTATAAAACCACTTTGTGAATTCTGAACTTAGTTTAGCAAGTAAGTTGCTAAACTACTAATTCAATGAAGTACTTTATTAGCATGTTAAGCTTCTTAACTAATATACTGGTTTGATAAACTGCTCAAATATTAAAATAGAAAGCCAATCTGGTATACTGGTTAAGGTACCAGGCTAAAAACCAGGAGACCATGAGTTCTAGCCCCACCTTAGGCACAAAGCCAACTGGGTGACCTTGGGCCAGTTACTCTGTCTCAGCCCTAGGAAGAAGGCGATGGCAAACTACTTCTGAAACCTTGCCAAGAAAACTGCAGGGACTTGTCCAGGCAGTTGCCAGGAGTCAACACTGACTCGAAAGCACAGAGAAATAAATACAAATATTTGCTTGATTATGAAGCAAGAAGATAGTAATTATTTACAAACAGCAAGGCATAATCTTTTGATATGTTAAACATATGGTTTCAGATCTAGAGGTAGTCAGGCTTAGAATAAACCAATTAAAAACTATGGGTGGAACTGAGGATGACTGTCTGGTCCCATTATTTCTCAGAATGTGTCCTAACCCTGAAATACAAATCTAACTCAGTGTAGCTGTTCAGTGCCTTTTCAATCTTAAACACATTTGGTGGAAACAAATCAAGCTAAACACACCCCTATCACCCAAAAATCAATGTTTGTTGAATATCTGTGATGGGATTCAACCCTTTTATTTTTTAGTTAAACAGAAAAAATGCAGAACTTTTGATTGATATACAAGAACAAGGCCACAAAATTAGCTTCCCATGCTAACCAATATCTGATTAAGCAATTAAGCAGGGCACAGCTTTTCTACAACGTTCGCTTGAAAAGAGAACTCTATTTTCAATAGCCAAAAATACAATTTTCACCAAAATCAAGAGTTTCCCATTTTCTTTTATTAAAAAAAAGAGGTCATTAAAAATTAAGACATAAGATCTGGCTTTCAGTTGCTAATCAGGCCAACAAGTATGTCAAATCCACATGGTATAAACGCAGTTTTATAAAAAGGATTTATATCTTATTATGAACTGCAAATGAAAGAAAGTGAAAATATTTTCTATACCACCCAAGTAAAAAAACAGTTCACTTTGAAAGAGAGGAAAGGAGGAAGAATACAGGAAAGAGATACAATTTGAGTAATCAAATATATGCCCATGTTGAACAGAAAGCTAGTGGGCATATCAATTCTCTGTCTTGCCAGGCAAAGCAAATAAATATAAACCCAATGAATTTTATGAGAGATGGTAGCAAACTAAGGTGTATTACAATTGTCACTACAGCATAGGAATATGCTGTAGAGTATATACAGAGTATATACTATTTATAGAGTATATCTGCATATACTCCCCCTCACTAAAGGCTGTTGTTAGAAACACCTCTTTGTGTTTAAACAAAGAGGTAATTAACACACAATTGCCCAATTCAGTTAAAAAGCAGCCCACACCAATTATTTACACAGTTGTGAGCAAAGAGGATTTCTACAAACAAAGCTCCACGCAGACGTACAGGATGGCATTAATTCTTTAGATTCAAGATATGTTCTGACAAAAAGGGAAGTATGAAAAATAATATGCCTACACATGCAAGTGCTTCTATACTCTCTTCCTACACACAGTTAAGAAGGCTAAGCAGAGTTTATTTATTTTGACTGATTATCAATTTCAAACTGCGGTTTAATATCATGGCTTAATAAAAGTCAATAGCCACAGTTTCTTGGTTCACTCAGTGCTAATTGGAGAATTAAGAGCTTGTATATTGTCAAAGGCTTTCACGGCCGGCATATGATGACTGGTTTGGGTCTTCCGGGCTGTGTGGCCGTGTTCTGGAAGTTTTGTTTCCTAACGTTTCG